TCCCAGCATTCCCTTTGTGATATGGAACCTTGTGGTACAATGTCAGAGAGATCCATACACTAACACACAAGTTATTGTCTGGAAGTTACAAAAATGCTTATTTTTGGCCCCTTTTTCCTTAACTGTTGGTACCATAACCCCCAAAATCAATCCCAACCTTCCTTTTGTGGTATTGAACCGTATCGAAAAATTTCATAGAGATCCATTCCTTAAACTAAAGTTATTGTGCGAAAACCAATGTGTCTTCGGATGACGAAGACGCCGGACGACGACGCCAACATCATACCAATATATGACCACAAAATTTTTTTGCGGTCGTATAAAAACCAAAGAGAACATACAAATGATACCTGTAACACTATACCAATAAATAATTTAGGTTTCCTGGTTTACTTAATCACAATTGCATTAACAAAAACATAAAAGAGGTATCTTCCATTCTAACACCACCTCTCTGTTTGTGGCTGTTGAATTTTCTTAATGTCAATGCTCGACTTTCATTTTACATTGTACATAAAATATATGTTAAAGATATGTTATTTAAACCTATTAAGCCACATTTTGAAAATTGACAAAAAATAAGAGAAAATTAAAACAAATAATACATGATGTCAGTATATGAACAATAGTTGTTTGAAATATATTGAGAGAGCTGTATGATATTTCAATAGGTAGTATGGCCTTTAAACATGTTAAATGGAGTTGCCAATCTCTGGTGTTCTACATGTATAATTGTGATTAACTTAAAGAGGTATATAATTAGCTGTCAAATTCATGTTCACCGATTTGACTCAAATTCTCATGTTTGATTTATAACATACTCAAACATTTATCCATATTATAAAAAGTCTAAAATAAACAATTTAATACTATGCATGGACTTGACAATATGTATAGCATTTCATGTGTATTTTAGTCTAGACACCATCTAATTAACAATTGAGGTAACATTTGAAGACTGCAGACGGACATATAATTTGATATATAAATATAAATCGATAGCGAACAGGTGCAATTGGATTTTTCTAGGTTTGTTTGATTTCATATCACAGGTTTTAAATGTGTTAATCATGGTTTTTACCTGTATAAGAATGAGTTTTTGTGGATCGAATCAGTCAACCAAATGATTTACTCTTGTTTCACTTTCAATGTTGACATATTCTTTCCCTTTTAATAGCTGAACACCCCTAGTTTATGCATAACCCATGTCTAGCTAAGGGGTTAAATTGAAGGTCACATGAATACGGAATGAATGAGGTGGAATTATTCACTTGCAAGTGAACAATTCATCAGCAATATTTCTTAGCTTATTTTGAAATAAAATGCTCCGCTGGGGCGCAGCTTGATACGACCGCAGAGGTCAAACCCTGAACAGTTGGGGCAAGTATGGACACAACATTCAAGCTTGATACAGCACTGAATTTGGATTGTAATTAAATATTTGACACAGCATAGGTTTCTGACACAAAATGAAAGTGGTCTAAGAACTTATAATTTTTTAATTTACCTATTCATACATGTGATGGACTGTGAAACTCAGATCAGGAGATTGGGAAATTTTGGTCAGGAGATTAGGACTCAGATCAGGAGGTTTTTAATCGACATAAATTTTGTCGTAATTGTAACCGTGTGCTGTAAAAATGGTCTTTTAAAGTGTGTTTTCTTCAACTTTCCATCCAATTTATTATGTTTATAGTGTCCTTGTACTTATAAAGTTTCTCCATCTTTATATTCTACATGTTCAATCTAACATTTTTTTTTCTTCAGTATGTTATTTAAATTTTTTACTTCATATTCTATATAACAATCATTGCAACCAGAACATCTGTTTAACTATCTGCAAATAGCTTTAGTTTGCATACTCAGAAAATCAATCTAACTGAAAAACAAGGGTCATAGTTATTATATAAATTTCAATTTAAGCCTTGAAAGGAAGTATAGAATCCTCAAATATATTTCAAATTATTATTTTTTTATTTGTCCTAAGACATTTAAAATCATTTATTTACCATCCTTTTATGATAATTTGTTCAATTTATATTTCATTTATATTCTTTTAAAAATTTTCATTATTAAAAGGAAAGTAACTTAAAACAGGATAAATCAAGGGAAGTAACCCAATAAATACACAGTTTTTGTTACACAACGGCAGTTAGCCTGAGGTAAAAAATCGTTGATTACCAGTATGTTTGACACCCAAGCTGACAAGTGAAGCCATATAATTATGCATGTTAATTGATTTACAGGTAAAATATAACTTCAGGTAATGTGAGTTACACCAGATGCCTGAGATGATATGTTGGGCAGAAATTTTTCATTCATGAAAAACTTCTTACACGGGATTATTTCCTCTTCAACGGGAGGTCGGGAGGAGACTAGAAAACGGGATTATTGTACTCCTGTCGGGAGGTTCACATGTATGCTATTCAAACCATATCATTATTATTTGCTTTTATATATAAATCAGAAATAACCAATTTAAAATGGAAAATTTTAAAGAAAAAAAAATCCCCCCCCCCCCAAATTTTTTGAACCCCCTTATGATTCATCACCCCCACACTCAATCCCAGCTTTCCCTTTGTGGTATGGTACCTTGCAGTACAATTTTAGAGAGATCCATTCACTTGAACACAAGTTATTGTCTGGAAACTAGAAAATTGCTTATTTGTTGCCCCTTTTTGGCCCCTTATTCCTAAACTTTTTGGGAAATTACCCCCAAACTCAATTCCAGCTTTCCCTTTGTGATATGGAACCTTGTAGTACAATTTCATAAAGATCCATATACTTACAAACAAGTTATTGTCATGAAACTAGAAAAATGCTTGTTTTTTGCCCCTTTTTGGCCCCTAATTCCCCAAATTTGGCGGAAATTACCCCCAAAAATCAATCCCAGTATATCCTTTGTGATATAGAACCTTTTGATACAATGTCAGAGAGATCCATACACTTACACACAAGTTATTGTCATGAAACTAGAAAAATGCTTGTTTTTTGCCCCTTTTTTGCCCCTAATTCCTAAAATTTGGGAGGCAATTACCCCCAAAATCAATCCCAGCATTCCCTTTGTGATATGGAACCTTGTGGTACAATGTCAGAGAGATCCATATACTTAAACACAAGTTATGTCTGGAAGTTACAAAAATGCTTATTTTTGGCCCCTAATTCCTTAACTGTTAGTACCATAACCCCCAAAATCAATCCCCACCTTCCTTTGGTGGTATTGAACCTTATGGTAAAATTTCATTGAGATCCATTCACTTAAACTAAAGTTAGAGTGCGAAAACTAATGTGTCTTCGGACGACGACGACGACGACGCCAACGTCATACCAATATACGACCACAAAATTTTTTTTGCGGTCGTATAAAAATTGAACCAAACTTTCATATTTTAATTTTTTTTGTATCTCGTAGCTAATGCCCCTTTAATGTATGGGAATTTAAAAAAATCTTTTGCAGTTTTTGAATGGCATAATATGACAAGAAATTTACATATACAATCTTAAAGCAATACTCAGAGACATGCTTTATATCAAAACAAAAGGATTGAACTGTTATAAAAATTGAGATGTTTTAGCACTTTGGAGGAAACATTGTGTTCCTTTTAGAATTTAAATTTCTGAAGATAATAAATTCTGAAAATTTACACAATGGTTTAACTGATAATATCTTATTACTTTGCAAAACTTTTTGTTGGTTGATAATTATTATCAAAATTATTTTTATCCTTTAAACTTCTGGTACAATAAAAAATAAATTTAAGTGTTGGGTTATTAAATACTTTCAGTATAGTTAATTCCATGTATCCTTAAATTTGATTCATGTGTCACATTAAGAGAAGATAGTTTGATAAAAAGCATATTTGATCAAGATGTGACATAACATCAGTATAACATTTAATACTAGGAACAGACATATATTGAAAAATCATATACCATGTAAAAAATACTAAACATGTAATTAACAAAAAACAATGTATCTGTTTATATATACACATTCTAATAAACAATAATATAAACTTAAAGAGAAATTCAACAAGGCTTTAAGTACTTGAAAAATTGATTGCACTCTGGGCACATCTAAGACACCTGTATTTGTGTGTAGCAAAAAATCATGAAATTTAAAAATACTGATTGCCAATCTCATCACTGACAAAGTAATAAATTTCAGTCCTATTGACTTAAATGTTTACATCCAATCAACCATTTAAGATGTCCTTGTAACTTAATTTTAGCAGTTTCTCCATCCGCACAGATGACCTCTGACTTACCAGAACATGAAAAACAGTGATGTTTCCCACAATGCAACAGCATTAGAATTAGTCCAATATGACATGATTGTAAAAACATTCAATACTTGAAAAAACTTACCTCTGACAAAGGTCAAAATGAAGGTCAGACATACATGTAATGTTTTTGTATACAAGTTAAAACTTATGGAAAGATAAAATTTATATTTTGCATATTGTGAATAGTCAGTGGCGGATCCAGAAATTTTCATAAGTGGGGCCCAGTGACTGCCTAAGAGGGGGCCCGCTCCATTCATGATTCAGTGAACCAAATTTTTCCCACAAAAGGGGGGGGGGGGGGGGCGTGGCCCCCTGGGCCCCCACTAAATCCGCCTCTGATAGTGCAAGCATTTTCTGACACATCCAATTCTAAACATGACAACTAGCTTAGGTCAGTTTCTGTTTTAAGAAAGATGACATCAGTTTTAGGATTGTGGATATCTAATACCATTAAAATGAATATGTATAAGGGAGCTACCATTTGATTTTTATGGGGGGGCTAGGATGAAATTTGAAAAAAATAGGCAGGACAGGAGTTTTGAGTAAAAAAAAGGCAGGATGAGATTATTTGCAAAAAAAAAGGCAGGATGACAATTTATGTAAAAAAAAAAGTCAGGATAAACTAAAAAAAAAAGGCAGGACCGAATAGAGGGAAAAATAAATAGGCAGGACCGAATAGAGGGAAAAATAAAAAGGCAGGAGAATATTTTTCATCCTAGCCCCCCATAAAAATTAAATGGTAGCTCCCTAATGTTCACAGTCAAATAAAACAAACACTGGCTGGCATAAGTTACATGTTTGGCACACAGTTCATGTACACTTTAACCCATGCTAGTAAACAAACTACACAATACCTGACACAGTCACTGTCAGTGTATCATGTGTATGTTATACAAACATTGAAAATTTGAATATTTATAAATCATAAACAACCAATAACATGAATAAAATTATCTTAACAATTGTTCAGCAAAGTTCTGTGACCAATTAAATTATCCAAACACTTGTTCAGGAAAGTTCTGTGTGGTTGGCCTTCCGTGTTTTTTATGCAACTCAACAAATTCAACAAGATGTGGCGGTAAATCTGAATGAAAAGATAACCTATGGGTAAGAATAACATTTGATGCAAGGCACTGTAGTGTTTGGTGTGAAACTGGACACAGAGGCACTAACGATTGCTGAGAACTCTCAATGGCAGAACGGTTGCTAAAATCTGCACAATCTGGATGAGCTCCACCCTCCAAGAGTGTCTGGACAACTTCTACAGGTTTACCTATTCCATTCTCTTCGTTATTGTCCAACATTAAAAAGTAACAAAAATGAAGAGCTGTCATTCCTATGTCATCAAAAGCATTAGGATCTGCTCCGTATGTTAGCAGCAATTTAATCATTTCTGCAGATCCCGAGAATTCATAAATTAAGGGACTTTTGTCGTTGGGGGACATCAACATGTCAATTGTGTTATTTGATAATGTAGGTACTGTATAATGTAATAGAGCCTGTCCATACAGGTTCCTTAGATCAGTCTTTATAACTTTCTTCATAAACTCTGAAAATCTTTGATATTCTTCTGGGGTCTTTTCTCGTCTAGCCATTCTCTTCATCATCACAAGCATTGACGCAAATTCTAGAAATCTCCTTTGACACCTTGGTGTGACACAACACTCCAGAAAAAAACATTTCCATATTGCCATTGAAAGATCAAAGGTTAATTTTGAATGTAGACTCTCAATCAAAACAATGTCGATCAATGGTGAAATGAAATTTTTCAAGGAATTCTTTTTGTCCCAACTGGCAATGACGGATAAATTGACTTCATTTGGCAGATACTTAACAAAATATGGGTAACTGTAAGTTACCAGTGTAGCACATTCTACTATTTTACCTTTCACGTAAAACTCATTTGCGAGAGATTCAAACGCACCTAATGTATTGAAATCTCCATATCCAATCATACGTTCATGAACTAAAGCATTTTTTATAAGAATTAGAGTATATGCTTCTATTGCTGTGGTATTATCCTTGATATACTTTTCAACATGTGACATGAATGAGCACACTTCTGTATTGATAGTTAAATCTGGCATTATCCCCGTTCGTACATGGGTGATGTAGCTTTGAGTCACTTCCTCTATTGTCTTTTGTGAGGTGTCTGTGAAAATCTTTGATATAACATGAGTCATATCCACAACATATGCTTGGAGAGGAACTGTGCGAGCTACCTCCTCCAACGATATATCTTCTTCCCATTTCAATATATTATTAGAAGAGAAGTAGGTTTTATTTCGTGTCTTACGGAGACATCTATGTTGTCTCAATTTATTGGCAGCATTCCAACATAGCACAGCATGCAGATAATACCTATGAGTGAGACAATATGTCCCTATCATCTCCAAACCATTTACCATGGCTTCGAAAGGAACTCCGGGCATCTGCAAACATTTCATATAATATGTTATATTACCTGTGCATGCTAAATACACAAGTGGATGGACATACTTCGTACATCTATTGTCGGACACATCAGATAAACAAATATTGTTTGATTCTCTGCTGATAATAAAGGACTGAAGCACAAAGTCCACATTGTTTTCTATGCTATCAGACTTTTCTCTTAATGGTACAACATGAAATTTCAGGAAGTTCGCTTCATTGATATCCTTGACATTCTCTATGTATGGATCAAAAAATTCTGACATGTGAAAACTTCGATGAAGTATTTCATATCCAAGAACAGACATGCCATCTGCATTCCTCACATTGTAAAAGTTAGGAATTTTATCGACTAAAACTTGAAGTGAATCCTTGGAAACACCTAATGATCTATTAAACACTGAGGTCAAGATGTAAAAAATCTGATCTTTTGTGCATTTCTCTACAGCTCCTTTATCAATGAGCAGTTTTACAATCTCAAATTTATGAGGCATTTTCAAGGTAAGTGTTTCTTTTAGATGGTTAATTTCATCCTGGTTTTCGAAATTTTCATTTGATTTATAGCCGAATGACTTGAATATTTCTTGAGGAAACAGCTGCAAGGAAAGCATCAACATATTGTAGTTTTCTGCAAAACTTATGTTAAAATCTGCATTACATTCAAGTAAATAGTGGACAATATCTTCATCACCATTGGCTACAGCACATAGTAATGGTCTGCCGTTATGTTTCTCACCATTAACTTCTGCTTGACAGTGTTCTACAAAAAACTTGACCATGTTTAGATTTGTCATCTTACAAGCTAAAGTTAGTGGTTCATATACATTTTTTTTAACTTGCATTACTTCTTTTCTTTGTTCTATACTACAGACACCTAAAACGGCTGCCAAATATCTCTCTGCATCATTGCAAATTATGTCAGACTTTTGTGTGGCTGAGATTAAATCAAATATTTTGTGTTTCAAAAATTGCAGTGTTTCTGGCTCAACACCATCTCCATAATTGTATGCGTCTTCACAGTAACCATAGTAATCATAATAAAAATCCAAATTTTCTTCATTCGGGGTAATACTTTCAACAGGTGTGTGTACAAATCTTTCATTTTGATTATTTTCATTAAATTCAGCATCTGTGCTGACTTTGTCTTTCTTTTTCTGATAGGTAGTCTTGTTTGAGGTTTCATTTTTACATCTTCTTTTCCTTTTTGCACGTCTATTGTAATCCATTTTATTCTAACTTTACTGTCAACACCAGCTTCACTTCATTCTGAAATGTAGATTAATAAATAAGTTGGTTATTAGTCATACCATATCTGGTGATCATTTTATTTGGCAATTGCCAATGGCAGTCAGCAGGGTTTAAGAACATCCGTTGTTCGACCTGCTAGTCAAATGCGTTTTGTTAAAATATACTTTGTCACTTTTTTGGTCTTTTGGAAATGTTGTTTGTGCTGTATTTAGACCCCTTTACCAAGAAATTTGTTTTGCATGCACACGTATAAAAATTGCGGTTTTTATCCAACACAATCATAGGTTTGAACGTTGTTTTCAATTTAGACTTGTATATATATAGCACTATGGAGGAAACATTGTGTTCCTTTTAGAATTTAAATTTCTGAAGATAATAAATTCTGAAAACTTACACAATGATTAAACTGATAATATCTTATTACTTTGCAAAACTTTTTGTTGGTTGATAATTATTATCAAAATTATTTTTATCCTTTTAAACTTCTGGTACAATAAAAAATAAATTTAAGTGTTGGGTTATTAAATACTTTCAGTATAGTTCATTCCATGTATCCTTAAATCATGTTTCACATCAAGAAAAGACAGTTTGATAATATAATATAATATTTAGAGTAATTATATATATATATAATTACTCTAAATATTATATATATATAATTACTCTAAATATTATATATATATATATATATAGGAATATAAGGACACGGACCTTAATACCTATGAATATTTCTCAGTGGACATTATCTACTGACATCAGACTAAAAATACTTGTAAATTGTGTAATGATGGACATTTTAAACTAGCAATTTGCGTCCGCCTGGACACACTTTTATCAGGACTATCTTACATAACATGCATAAATACCCAAATATTAAGTCCATTATAACCAGATGAAAAGTGTCTCAAGTTAATGCATAGACAAGTGGAAGGTTAAATAGAAAGATATCTTATAAAGTGTTGACATTTATATCCCAAAGAGGCCGAAATAGATATGTTGGTGATAGTTAGGACAATGCTTAAAAAACATTGTTTATCATATCCAAATTATGCCTTATGTGAATATTCCAATTAACAAGTATTTCAGAAAATATATTTTTTGAAATTCACCTTGTACTGAAACTAGGTCCTGTACTGCCTTAAACTTTTTCTGTTGTACTGGTTTGACTGTACTCAGAATAAATACTTTGGTACAATGTATAAACATGGCTACTTTTTAGGAAAGGTTATATTATGATGAATGGATGAACTTCAAAGTCTTATGATACTTTAAATTTAACAAAAAAGATGAAAATGTTTTATATACTTGAATGGCTATGTTTTACCGAAAAAACATATGAACATATATGCAAATGTAGACTTTCCTGTAAAAGAAAATCCTTTATTTTATCCAAATCTTCAGAAATGTACTGCAATTGAGATATTATCTTCCCATACTCGAGTTCGCCAACAGTTTTTCTGTTTGCAGTGATCTTAACCATGACACCTTTTGTTAGAAATTCAGAAATGGCACAGCTCAAGTGCAAAGGGAAAAATACTGAAGGAAAAATGCATGGAAAATATAAAACATGAGTGCACATGCTGAAATTTATCACCTGCTTTACTGATTTCAAGTTCTCACAAATTATTGCATCTCAATTAAAACTCAGGCTCATAATTAAGTATTATACTAATGACATCATTCCAAGACAATTTAGCTAAATGCATGTACTCAAAAGGTTAAATACTTCTATTCTCTAATGATTTAGGGTCAATTTTCAAATATGAGAGTACAGTAGGTAAGGCTGTGGATTTTCTATAAAATTTCCATACAGTTTCACTTGCATTGATTCAGCAAAAGGGTACATGTACATACAACATGTACACCTTCAGGAGGGTTGGTGGAATTTCCACTTGAAATGAAATTGAAACGGGGAAAAGAATCTGTTGTGTAAATACATGGATGGTACCAGCTGGAATCGAATCCTCAATGACACTCTCATGAGAATAGTGAGGAACGCCATACTTCACGAAATAACTACAACGCTGAACGCAATGGGAATTCAATTTGATAAACTATCAACGAACGAAAAACTACAACATATTCTGGATTTAACGCCGGTAGCGAAAGCAAAGAAACTCTCTCCAGTCAATGTTGTACAAATAGAACGCCTTACTCGACGCCTGCTATATCAACTTCATATAGCCCGTTACAAGATGGTATGTGGACAGTAATAAATCTAGTGTGAAGTAACAATAAAATAAGCGATTCCGTTATCTCACCTTCTATTAGGGCGAGCTTGGGGAACCACACAAATTTCTGGAATCAAGTAAACTGTAAAATAAAGGTTTTTACGCAAATTGAGTGGGGTAGGACCTCAATGTAAATATGCGCACATCAGATATCGAATGGTGGAGGGAGTAACAACACTGTATATAGATTGCACCCGAGCTGAGCATGTAAATATGGCTAGATGCCCAATGGTGGAAGGAGAAGCAGCATTGTATATAAAGAGATCACCTGTTCTACATATGAAAATATGGTTCCTCTACAAAGGGGGTTTAAAGATAAGTTAGATTATATTAGATTTATCGGTTTTCTTGTTTCAATTCAATATGTTTGAATTTTTAGATGTGTTATTATATTATAATATTACTAATTTAAATCTTTTTCTCATTACTAGACGTACAGCTTCAAAGTAAACACATCATTTTCTTTTATTGTTCTTTTTGCTTCCCTCTACGGGCGCAGCCATCTTTTAATAGACTAAAAGAGATCCGACAGTCCCGTACCCGTGTCTCCATATTAGGAAATATTTACACGATCCACATATTAAAGGTAATTCGGAATTCAATGTATTACGATACTGGTCGTTAATTTCGTTAGGCCTTGCAAGTCCGTTCATTTAACTTACGTTGACTAAATCTGAGAGTACTATAACACATATATTCATTATTAGTCTCAGAATAAATTAATTAGTTAACAGACTCATAGGACGAACGAAACTACAACTCAAATATGTCAAATCAAATCAAATCAAATAATATCAAATCAGAGTATTTCCTAATTTAGGACCCTTGATGGCATATCAATATCAAACAAGAGAAGAAGGAAAAATGACAAACGGTATACACATTCATGCATAGCCAATGCATGCATTATAAACGGTATATGAATTTATATATAAAGATAAACAACTTGTGAAAGGAGACATGACTTTTATTTTAATGCTTGCTCAAAACGCATTTCAGACCAGAGACGTATATACTATGCGTGTGCGTTTCTCAGATCAGACCGTTTCCAAATTGTAACAGAAATAGCAAAAATAAATAATCTTTCTTAATTTGGATGAGGAAGTAATGGCTGATCTTGAGTAACACTCCAGCATGTTCATGGATGATGACGGGGTAATGACTGATCTTGTAACACCCCAGCATGTTCATGGATGATGAAGTAATGACTGAACTTGTAACATGATTCTAGCATGTTCATGAACGATAAAGTAATGACTGATCTTGTAACACCCCATCATGTAACGCGTAGCTACGTTTACGTCAAAACGCCTGGGCGTACACATGAATTTAAAAGATAAAAATAATTTAATCTAAATAAATTTAAAGAACTGGTGAAAAGCACGTGCATCTTGTACTTCTTTCTTTAATGGCCTGTAATTGGAGATAAAAGTGACAAAATTTACTTTTAATCAAATGGTATGTTATGTATTTGTTTATTGTCAGTTATAGTCTGAATCTACTGTGAATTCTACTTCGTATCTTATTGTTTAAAGCAATTTATAATATGTTGAGGTACACTATGCGCGATTTCCATTTTTGTCGAGCATGCGTCATTCATGTTGCGAAACGAGTCTTAGCGATTCTTCATCAACATTTAGGTTCAGTCTGTGGGTAAAATTTGTTTTAAAACATTAAAAACATTGTCAAAACTTCCGGGAATTTTACGAAATGGACAGTAGCTTTTTATGATCAATTTAAAGACAGTAGCCAAATTTTTAAAATATATTTTTATTTAACTGATAAATGGACGGATTTTTTTTTACAGTTGATATTTGGACACAGTCTTAAAGTAGGTTAATTAATGTTTTTCAGACATCAATAACTTTTCAAACCTTCATGAAATTTTACGGAAATAGGACACAAGCTTTTTTATACTTAAAAGTCAGTATCCAGAGCATAATAGAAATATATTTCTACTTTTTTCCGTATTTTGTTGCTTTATAGTTAAAAAGTATAGTAATTTACAGTCTAATGTTAAAGTTTGTTACTCATCAACTACTTTGTCAAAACCTTCATCGAATTGGATGAAACTTTTTCAGAAGCATTTTTATGATAAGGAGATAATGTCAGAAGCAAAATTTGGAAAATAAATGTATTTGTTGTTTTTTTTTAATTTTGAAAGTATTTTATTGACTTTTTGCAATTAACATACGGCCTGGGATTATTTTTTTTTTTACATAATAAAATGTATACACCTACATAGATTGTTAGTATGAAACTTGTAAATAATCTAATTGGCATGATCAAGATCAAGAAAAAGCATCTAAATAAAAAATGTTTGATTTTTTTTTTTCTAAAATCCTGTATTTGACTGCACGATAAAAGTATTCGTTTTACAGTCAACATTATACTTTAAAACGGACAGCAGCAGTCCTAAGCCAGATACAGGGTTCCACGAATCACTTTTGAATTTTCATATTACACCCGACAATATATGATAATTAACTATTTCTTATGTATTCATTAACGGAATTTGCGCATACAAATAGGAAAAAAATAGATGAAGTCAAAATAATTAATTTAACGTCAACATTGATATATTTTACAGTAACTGGTTTTGGACATTTTCCCGAAGATCAATGATCATTATATTCCACATAAGCACAATAAATGAATTGAACATAAAACTAAAATATAGACTCTAAAGCATGATTGTATCTTTTTCTCGATAACCTCCCTCGAATCCACTACCAAGAGGTCCTCTGCCCTAGAACCGTTGGTTCGCGGAGGTTCGGGCGTACACTTAACAATGGTCAAGCTACGCCACTGAATTGTTCATGGATGATGAAGTGATGACTGGTCTTGTAACACTCCAGCAGGTTCATGGATGATGAAGTAATGACTGATCTTGTTACACCCCAGCAGGTTCATGGATGAGGAAGTAATGAATGATCTTGCAACACTCCAGAATGACAATGAGCAGTGAAGTAATGACTGATCCGTCAATACTGTAACTAGGCGAGTGACTTTAACCATAAAATTAAATTTTTAATGCACCCACCTAACACACGGCTAAATTATATATCATTTGAAAGCTATATGTTTTGCCTGGTCGTAAAAAAATCGTACGGTGCAATTTCCGCAATCAAGATCAAAGGCCAAGGACGAATAAGTGCATATTTTCTACGATTTCAGCTTGATTGTATAATATGACTTTTATATACTAAATTCACATATGCAAACCATTTAAACTTTTAGCAGAGATATTAACGGTTATTAATCAAATGCATTTTAAAATATTTAAAACGTGTTTTTGATAGACAGCACATGTTTCCTGAAATTCGAGTAAAAGTTAACAAAATGTTTGAAAACCCAAATTTTTCTTTCTGATGCAATTGCTAATCACTTAAAACTGAGTAAAACCTTGTAATAACTACCAAAGAAGTTTTTGACATCATAAATTTCCTAAAATTATGCTTACTTCTAATCAAACAGCAAATCATAACAACTCATGCAGTTGCCCAAAATACCGCCATCTGCAAAAAAACCAGCTTTTAAGCATTTCTTCCTATTCAAACATTGTATGTGGTCAATATAAGATTTAATAAACAAATTCTTAAGAATCTGAAAAATTTAAAGTAAAAAAATATTTGTGCGAATCATACTATTGCTTGAAATAAAGGGGGCGAAACTAAGAGATTGCAATCTGCATTGTAACTACCAGACTGAAATAAACATCTTTTGACTTTTCTAATTGTTTGATTTGTAGCTTCATTATAAATATTGATGTAGTGAAAAGACCTTTTATTTATTTAATGTGAACCATAAAAAATAAATTGAAAATTTAGACAAAAATAAATAAAAAATAAATTGATGAAAATTGAAATTTAAAAGAATTTAAAAATCAGTAAACACATAATAAAACTTGACTTCTTGATTGCTTAAATTGCGTTGTTCCTTGTTTAAATGCATTAATTCATCAAATAAGAAATATTTTGAAGAAAAAAATCCATTAATACGCAACGATTCTAGTTACAACTAGACTTTCTGAATAGCTTGAATGACTAGTTCATTTTTCATACGAGGATGACTTCATGCAAGAGCTTCTGATGACGACTGAAAAGAAGCTACCATTATCTTGAAACTTCACTTTCCACTATATAGATGATGTCATCTCGCTTAATAGTGCCAAATTTGTCACAATGTTGGACTCGTATTTTCCATTGAAATTAAAAAAAAAGACTCAACAGATATAGTTTACTCTACCTTTTATCTTGAAATCGACGATGAGGGTTGGTTGAGAACAAGTTTTACGACAAAAGAGATGAGCATAAATCAACCCATAAAAACACTCCTTATCAACCAATTATAAACTTTTCATTTCTATGTAGCAACATTATAGCAACACCTGCATATCTATACTATTAAAGGAGGAGACCGATTTCACTGAGCCTCAACTCCTTTGAAACAATAACAAGTCGGAATATTTATGATATGACGTATAAATGTAGGGTTTTGCATTTCCTTAATTTGTATTTGCATGCTCAGTCGACGTACTTCCCGCAAAATTAAATAAAACTCTTTATTTAAACACTTGCCCAATTGTAACGCGATTTCGCGGCATCTTCTTGTGGAGTATATATTTCCAAGTTGATACAATATTCCAGAGCTTGCATTTACTTTCACGATTGTCGTGATAGTGCGTAACTGCTCACAATCAAGATATTAAATAAAGGCAACTATAGTATACCGCTATTCAATAGTAATCAATCGATTTACTAGTAACTGAAACAAATCCGGGTCACAAACCAAAACCGTGGGAAACGCATCAACTATAAGAGGAACACAACGGAATAACAGAAACACTGAACTGCTACAAAAACAAAAATTAACATACAAAGAAACAGATTATTCGATACCAACTGCCATATGCCTGACTTGGTACAGGACATTTAAAGAAAAATGGTGGTTTGAACATGGTTTTAAACAAGAGTTCAAATGCAAAGTTGAAATCATCCATTTGAAAATTTTATGGACGCCACTACGAGTTGGTTGACAATTATGAAATATCTGTTTTGCCAGATGACGACTGATAAGTTCCAATCGACGTAACCAAAATACCGTCATTTCTGCCTTGAATGTCACCTACCGAATAAGGCTTGGCACCGAGGTAGGAATTACACGAGCCACAAGACGGGTGTCACATGTGGAACATGATCTGCTCACCCTTTAGGAGCCCTGAGTTCACCCAAAATATTTTTGGGGGGTTTGTGTTACTCAATCTGTAGTTTTATATGTTGTGTTTTGTATACTGTTGCTTGTCTTGTTCGTTTTTTGCCCGGCTTTGTCAGTTCGTTTTCAATTATGAGTTTGATGTCCCTTTGATATATTTCGCCACTCTTCAAGTAGTAAAAGTTTTTAAAATTGTAGATCATTGTAGTTAAATGTATCATGATAACGATTTGGTTCTATATATATATATCACCGTGAGCAAATTAAGTTATTTTCGCGGATATTTG